TAGTAGTTTTTGCATATTGTGATTGTAAAATTAGTGTAATAATAGTTTTACAAAAAGTGGGCGTAAAAAGAGGCGTGGCATCCGATCAAGATCTTATAAAGCCTATTGTTCCTTTTGGGGTTAGACCTATTAGCTGTCCAAATTTCATGTAAATCGGTTCAGTAGTTTTGCCGTGAAAGCGTAACAAACAAACACACAAACAAACAAACAGTCTGTTTTAGGGTAGAAGGGGGACCATAGCCACTTTTTTTTGAGGCGGCCTCAAATTAAAACCACAATACATATTCTTAATTTTTTTCTTGCTTCGGATACTTAGATATGTTGGCTTTAGTTTTATCCCTTTCAATCTTTCCTAAGTCATCCTCATACACATATTTTTTAACTTTTCCGCACTGACCAAAAACGGCGATACCGCCCCATCCATGGGGTAAATACGCCAAGGGGATGGGGCAGATTTGTCATTAGTAAAATAAGCCAAAAAAATTAAAAAGTAAAAACTTATTTTGCTGTTTTATATTTTAATTCACTAAACAATGTATAATATACTAGATATTTATTGTTTATTTCACATAACTAAACAAAAAAAATTAAAACAAATTATTAATGATTTTTTCTATATTTTAACAAAATTTTGTTCTACATCACAAGCATTACATATATTTGGCGCATGTGCCCCACGGGCAGTTCTGGGGTGTAGTTTCAATTTTTTTCGTGTTTCAAATTATATTATCGAAAATATTATTATGTCTTATTATTCACTATTATTGACGTTCTATCAGTGACCAATATATTTTTTCTATCACAAAAACTAAAAAAGTTAGCACAAAAAATTCACACAGTGAAATATTTTCACAGCCCTTTGAAAAACAATTAATCACGTCTGCCTCCCATCATATGTAAAGTTAATCTTTCAAACTTTCAGGGATGATAGATAATCGATAAACGAAAATAAAATTTGGTAACGCGATAAAATCGATTACTCGGTTTTCAAGTTATTCGCTTTGGCAGATGTGCCCCTATGGCGAATGATCCCCCTTCTACCCTATATATACATATATAGGATATAAAATTTAAGTTTCTAGTTAAAAATTATTTAGCATTTCATATAAAATTATATTCATTTTATTACAAATTTGTTTTTTGAATTTAATTATCTACTAAACCCTTTAGGATTTTTTAATTATTTTTTTTTTTTTTGCAATATTGTGAAAAATAAGTGCGTAATTCCAAAATATTTTTATAAAATTTCTATTTTTAAATGTTATTATCAAGGCAAGGATTTTCATGCACGAATGAAGAATATGCCATAAAAAATATGCATTAAAAAATATTTACTTATGAAATTTAAATAAAATTGCTGTTGTTATCACTAATTTTATATGGCGAGGGTCAAAAATAGTCCGATTCTCATAAAATTTACTGAACGGATGTATTTTAGTATAAATTATATTTATTCTGAATTTTATGGTGTGGTAATGTTTTCATGTGAATTATGAACGTTAAAGGCATTTTCTGAAGGATATTTTGTATGGGGCTAGGGTGAGAGAGATGTGAGTGCCAAATTTCGTAAGTTATCGGTTTATATGGACACACAGATAAACAGTCTCAGAAAGTGATTCTGAGCCGATACTTTAAGGTGGGACGCATACAAAATTAAATTATATTCGGGTTAAAAAAAAAACTTTCCAGTGAAGATGCTGCTTACTTATTTTAGGTAGAATCTAACATTATATGCTTATAACGGTAACATGAATGATGCGTAAAACATAAAAAAGAAAAATGATTTATTTTGCTCGAAGTTAATCGAAACTTTGGACATGAATAAAAAAATATCTATGGAATATTTTTAAAAAATTCTTTTTATAAATGAAAATATAATTTCTTTTTTTTCTGTGTCACACAGCAGGTATTTTGTATGTTCTGGAATGAAGACAACTTTAGATATTGATAGATATATTAGAGAAGCTCTTAATGAAGTTTTTCAAATCATAAACAAAAATGCCCAGACGAAAACTTTTTTCTGTTATCAGCTAGGGTTCAACTTTTGATCATTTTATGAACTTGGGATCCTCCTTTAATAAAAAATGAAAACCCATACAACTGAACCCCCTTATTAGATTTTAAGTAATTATGTTTAATATACTCATATCTCGACAAAAAGCTGCAATAACCAAGTTGTATACAAGACTTGATGACCCCCACGAATTCCATAATAATAGGTTCTCATATGACCCTAGCCCCTATCAAAATTTCACTTAAATGTCCACAATTTTATTCAACAATAAACGGCTTAAGTATGTATATCTAAGGCAAGGTACAATTCAACTTAAATGCTTTATTATGGCAACTAAATCACATTATATTTTTGCCAAAGGTGTAGGGTATTATATGGTCGGCCTCGCCCGACTATAATTTCTTACTTGTTTAATAGTATGATTGAGAACAAGGTGTCCACGTCTTTTAAAGTAAACCGTTAATTGTAAGTATATTTAAAAAGTGAGGAATTTTTTCATGGACTCAAAGTCATAGAATACCACTTGATTTTGGGGTTCTGTTGTACCCATATGATAAAATGATATGTAATCTATTTTGATTATGATATATTTTTTTTGCATCTTTTTGGATACCCCATACACATTTTTTCAAAAGTTCAACATGAACTCGCAAAAGTTGCATTAGTACATTTTTGATATTTGGCGTTCAGCTGTGCCATATAAAACTTACATAAAGTCTTGGATTTTATTTAAAAATATATATAGCCATTGATGCTTCATAGTGTAGATCTATAAAGTTTTTAAAATTGATGTGTTTGTAACATGCACTGCCGTAATTGGAACATGTACAAAAGGTGCAAAAAGTACCAAAAATACAAATATTTTCCGGTTTTTACCCTTGTGTTTTAAATCTTTCTAAAGATTAATATTTAATTGATATTATTTTAAGTAATTTTTCACTCATATTTAAAATTTTGACTCTATAAATATCTTTTTTACAAATGAGTGTAGAATGCCCTATTTTGCCCGTTTTTACACCCTGAAAGGTTGGCAGTCGGAAAAGTACTTTACTAATACATACATATATTTAAGGGTTTTGAGAGATAAAACAAAAATATTTCCACGTTGGAATAAAAATTAACATTATATAAGAGAGTACTAATTTTCCCGTTTTCCCCCCTTTTTGTGCCTTTCTGGTCCAAGATAAAAAATGTGATATAGCCTATTGACGTTTTCATAGCTTTACTTTTAAAAAATTCAAAATTCAGAGTTTAGTCCCCCTAAAATTGCAAAATCTGACACTGTGCAAGGTACTGAATAGTACAATAACTACCTACTTCTGAGCAAATGCTACTTATATCTTATAGGCCTTATTCATAAACAACATTTTGGCTGACTTCATAGTTTAAACACAATTTCACTGCGGTATTTAAATCTTTTACCCATGTAAAGTTTCAAAACAATGCAACGATGCTTTGTTTATTTTCACGTTCTAACCTAATGGAGATGAAAAGTTTTGTAACGGTTGTATTTATAAAACTTATTTTAGGTTTATTAAACAATTTTACACAAAATTCAGGAAAATCGTATTCATAAACGTCAAATATCTTAAAACCCCTTCAATATTCCATTGACAAATATAAGAATTTTATTGTAGGCTCGACCCTTCTTTAAGCCAACAATTTTTTTTAGATAAAGCTTTTTCGGTAATTTTAGGTTGATAGCGAAAACTAATTATGGTTTCTTTTAAAATAAAATCTAAAAATTCTAATTTTAACGTTTTTAATTTGTAAATAAAATGCCAGAAAAATTTTAAACGATTATATTTTGGGAAAAAAATCAAATCTAGGCATTATTAGATTAATGCATAAATATTTAACAATATTTCGTTAAAATTAGTCAAATATCAAAGAAATTTATCAATATTTGCAAAAATTTATCAAAAATTACAAGGAAAAAAGGTAAAAATAAAAAATGTACAATAGTAATGTTTATTTTGTCGCAAAATATACGTTATTCGGATACTTTCAATAATAATTAGACATTATATGTAATATTTATATATCTGAACTAAATAAACATTTATTATAGCCATATATATTTATATATATTTTTCTTAAAAAGTTCGTTTTAATTGTCAAAAATCTATTATAAACAAAAATATGAAATTTAAAAAATCGAATCAACGAATATTTTATCCTAATTGTGCGCAACACTAACACATTAAATGACAGACAAATTGTACAGTGCTGCGTAGATAGATAGATAGATAGATAGATAGATAGATAGATAGATAGATAGATAGATAGATAGATAGATAGATAGATAGATAGATAGATAGATAGATAGATAGATAGATAGATAGATAGATAGATAGATAGATAGATAGATAGATAGATAGATAGATAGATAGAAATTTATCAATATTTGCAAAAATTTATCAAAAATTACAAGGAAAAAAGGTAAAAATAAAAAAATGTACAATAGTAATGTTTTGTGGCAGCACCGAGCCTGCCTGTTTTACAAAACCAACAGTCTGGCAACGCATCAGATAGAAGCAAACGAGTTGACAGACGTAAACAGAAATTAATTCCAAAAGTCGTCTTTGCTACTACACATGTAGCTTTCTAGTCTTTTGTTAAAGTAAATGTGAATTCCTTTTTATTAATTAAATAGATAATAAATAGTTGTTAAGTGTTATATATTCGTGTTTTATTCACCCGCAACTATATTGGTGACCCCCGTTTTTAACGCAATTCTGAGGAACGAAAACTTTGACAAAATTTTCAACGACGCAGAAATTTTTTTCCTGGAAGCAGCGCAGCGGCGTATTTTTTTGAATTTTTAACGTTTTTTGAGCAAATAACTTGTTGATTTTGTTCGAGCAAAACAAGTTCGGCTTATGAACAAACACCCGTACAACTTGAGGCAACGAAAATCAGCCGACGACGGGGAAATCTCATCAGGTGGTGAGGAAATTGAATTTTTGATACAAGCAGTGTTAACATGGCCGAGATGGAAAATATGTTAGCACAAATGCAAGCTTTACAACATGAAATCAACACTCTTCGAGAGTCTCAGGCGAATGTGAATGACGCATCAAGATCAAATCTTCAGAAAGTTCATATTCCGAAATTCAACAAACACAATCCGCATTTGTGGTTTGCGCAAATTGAGAGATCATTTGCTTTGTGTTCCATCACATCGGATTCAGACAAATTTGATCTTGTCTCGGTACGTCTGGAAGACGAAATACTTTTATCAATTGAGGACCTGATAACGAATCCTCCTCAGATTGATAAATTTGGTACATTAAAGGAACGTCTCATTACAAAATTTGCTGAAACTTCTGAATCTAAACTGCGACGTTTATTACAGGGTTGTGAAACCGCAGGTAAAAAACCTTCGGAGATTTTATCGACTATGAGACGTCTAGCTCCTGGTAAACAAAATGAGGCAATTATTCGCACACTATTTATGGGTAAAATGCCAGATTCAATTCGTCCCATATTATCCGTTTGGAAGGACGATGATTTGGAAAAGCTTTCCGAAACGGCCGACAAAATGCTAGATGCTAATTACAACGTGACAAGTTCCGTATCAGTAGCACCTTTACGTTTCGACGCAAGTGTTCCAGTGGATGCAGTTGCTCCCCATATGACTTTTTCTGACGTTTGCCAAGCGATTAAGAATTTAACAGATGAAGTTAGGAAAATTCAGTTACAACAGAACGACAACAGAGTTAAATCTAATCGACAACAGTCCAGATCTCGTAGTCGTTCACGAAATTCTCACCAGAATTCAACTGAGGTACAATTATGCTGGTATCATACGAAATTTGGTGATGCAGCCCAGCATTGTAAACCAACCTGCCCCCGCTGGAAACCTAATTCGGAAAACTAGTGGGGCTGTCGTCAGTCAACACGGTTGGCGACAGCGGCAATAGTAACATAACAGAGGAGAATCGTCTACATATTTTCGACAGGTCGACTAACACTCGTTTTTTAATTGATTCAGGGTCAGTGGTATCAGTAGTACCCCCATCTTTAATCAAAGCAACATTAACGCCAACCACTGTTAAGCTTCTTGCTGCAAACAGCAGTGAAATTAAGACCTATGGTCACTGTGTTTTTAAATTGGACTTAGGTCTCCGCCGTGAACTCAAATGGTTATTTATTATTGCTGATGTTCAATCGCCCATACTTGGCGCCGACTTTTTGAGTCATTACAATTTACTTATTGATCTCGGACGAAAATGTCTTATTGATAATACTACAAATTTGATAAGCAATGGCGAAATTCGTGAAACTAAGGATTTAACCATTTCAACATTGTCTACTACGACAAATAATAATTTTTCAAAATTACTTGCACAATTTATTGATATTACAACAACAACTTTAATTCGTAAACCTAATGCTGATGCAACAGTTATTCACCATATTGAAACTACAGGCAAACCAGTTGCTGATCGTCCACGAAGATTGTCTGGTGATAAACTAGCTGCAGCAAAATCCGAAATTGATTTTTTATTGGATCATGGCATATGTCGACCCTCCAAGAGTCCATGGGCCAGTCCGATACACATGGTCGCTAAGAAAACTGGTGGATGGCGAGCGTGTGGTGATTACCGGAAACTTAACTCACAAACAGTTCCGGATCGGTACCCTATAGCCAACATTAACGACTTTTCTGAAAAATTACATGGTAAGTCAATTTTTACAACTATTGACCTTGTTAGAGCTTACTACCAGATACAAATGGCTCCGGAGGACATTCAAAAGACAGCCGTTTGTACTCCATTTGGTTTGGTAGAGTTTTTATTTATGCCCTTTGGGCTACGAAATGCCACGCAGACGTTCCAGAGGTTTATGGATTCTGTGTTAAGGGGCCTTGATTTTGTATATTGCTACATTGACGATATTATTATTATGTCGGAATCTGCCGATGAACATCAATGTCATTTACGACAAGTATTTGAGCGCCTTCGCCATCATGGTTTAACCATCAACGTTAACAAGTGTAATTTTGGTCAGTCAGAGGTACAGTTCCTTGGCTACATGATTAATGGTAGTGGTTGCCGACCTCCTACCGATCGTGTCACTGCCATCGTGAATTACACCAAACCCGAAACCATTTGCGAACTTCGTAGATTCCTCGATGTTATTAACTACTATAGGCGATGTATTCCTCATGCAGCACAATTACAAGCACCACTCAATGGTTTTCTAACAAATTCAAGGAAGAACGACAAGAGAAAAATTCCAAGGACACCTGAGTCTGAAGATGCATTTTCTTCTTGTAAACGTAGTCTTAGTGAAGCCACAATGCTAGCACACCCAGCACCTAATTCAGACCTAGCTCTTAGTACGGATGCTTCTGACACAGCTATTGGAGCTGTCCTTGAACAAAGGTTTGAGGATACCTGGAGACCACTCGGTTTCTTTTCTCGAAAATTATCATCAGCCGAAAAAAATTACAGCACATATGATAGGGAATTGCTTGCGATTTATGAAGCCGTGAAATATTTCCGACACATGCTTGAAGCACGACATTTCGTGATTAAGACTGATCATAAACCACTAGTTTATGCATTTTCTCAAAAACCGGAGAAAGCTTCGCCTCGACAATTGAGACATCTTGATTTCATTTCACAGTTTACAACTGAAGTGATTTATTTGTCTGGTCCTGAGAATACTGTAGCAGATGCACTATCGCGTCTTAATGCAATTTCTATGCCATCAACAATTTCAATGGAAGTACTTCAATCAGCTCAAGAATTGGACGAAGAGTTAAAAACCTTACTGGAAGGTAATAATTCTTTGAAACTTCAAATCGTTCATTTTGAATCTACATCAGTATACTGCGACGTATCAACTGGATATGTACGTCCTTATGTTCCTGAACAACTTCGTCAACAGATTTTTGGTATAGTACACAATCTGTCTCACCCAAGTGGCAAAGCCACTCTTCAACAAATTCGTAAAAAGTACGTTTGGCCAGCAATGAAAAAGCAAATCATTAGTTGGTCCCGAAATTGTTTGTCCTGTCAAAGGGCAAAGATTACAAGGCACAACCGATTACTGCCAAATAGAATCGATGTTCCAGACAATCGTTTTGACCATGTCCATTTGGATATCGTAGTGATTCCATTTGCACAGGGTTACAGATATTGCCTTACAATGATCGACCGATTCTCTCGATGGCCTGAAGCTGTACCGTTGAAGGACATGTCTGCCCAGACTGTCGCAACAGCATTTTGGTCAAATTGGATATCTCGCTTCGGTTGCCCTAAAACTATCACTACTGATCAGGGTACTCAATTTGAGTCCAATTTGTTCAAATCACTTGTTGAATTTACTGGTTCAAAGCGTTCACGAACAACTGCCTATCATCCTCAATCAAACGGTATGGTTGAAAGGTGACACAGATCTTTTAAAGCTGCTCTAATGTGTCATCCTGACGTATCATGGGTTGATATACTACCGACAGTCCTACTTGGACTTAGGAAGGAAGATCTTCAAGTATCACCTTCCGATTTACTTTATGGCGGTTCATTGCGTCTTCCAAACGATTTCTTTGATGAAGCCGATAATCCTGTTGATTCTCCTGAATTTTTACGAAAACTTCGGGAATATTTTAATCTTCTGCGCCCTACACCAACAGCTCATCACAATAAAGGCAAGATGTTTATCTTGAAAAATCTCCATGATTGCACTCATGTCTTTCTACGTACTGATGCTGTTCGAGGACCTTTACAGACACCATACACGGGTCCGTACAAGGTTATAAAACGACTTTCAGACCGGTTATACACAATACGAATCAAAGAAAATGATGTAAACGTATCCGCAGACAGATTAAAACCAGCTTTTATCATAAATGATACTCAGCAGAACATCACTTCGGAAATTCCCAACACACCACCTGATCAACAAAGTACAAATTCTACATCTCAAAATACCACATCTGCTAATCAACTTACTGCCGCCACGAATGTTGCGCAACGTAGTCCAACGCCTACGGAAATATCGTTCCAATCAGATCCTGACTTTGTCACTGGAGAGGGAGTGGATGTGGCAGCACCGAGCCTGCCTGTTTTACAAAACCAACAGTCTGGCAACGCATCAGATAGAAGCAAACGAGTTGACAGACGTAAACAGAAATTAATTCCAAAAGTCGTCTTTGCTACTACACATGTAGCTTTCTAGTCTTTTGTTAAAGTAAATGTGAATTCCTTTTTATTAATTAAATATATAATAAATAGTTGTTAAGTGTTATATATTCGTGTTTTATTCACCCGCAACTATAGTTTATTTTGTCGCAAAATATACGTTATTCGGATACTTTCAATAATAATTAGATATTATATGTAATATTTATATATCTGAACTAAATAAACATTTATTATAGCCATATATTTTATATTTATTTTCTTAAAAAGTTCGGTTTAATTGTCAAAAATCTATTATAAACAAAAATATGAAATTTAAAAAATCGAATCAACGAATCATTTTATCCTAATTGTGCGCAACACAAACACATTTAAATGGACAGCCAAATTGTACCGTGCTGCGTCGATAGGATAGATAGATAGTATATATTATAGCTAAGATAGATAGATAGAAGATTAGATAGATAGATAGATAGATACGATAGATAGATAAGATATAGATAGATAGATAGATAGATGAGCTAGATAGATAGATAAGAGATAGATAGATAGATCGATTAGATCGATAGATAGATAGATAGATAGAGATAGAAGATAGATAGATAGATAGATAGAGTTAGATATGATAGATGATAGATAGTAGATAGATAGATAGATAGATAGATAGATGATAGTCTAGATAGAATAGATCGATCCATAGATCGATAAGATCTAGATAGATAGTAGATAGTCGATCGATAGATAGCTAGCTAGATATATGATAGTAGATAGATAGATCGATAGATGCTAGATAGAAATATAGTAGCTCGATGGATGCTCGATCGATTCCGCGCTCTAGATCTGATCGCTGCTAGTGATTCCTCTCTCGCTAGCTAGTCTAGCTCGATAGCTCTAGCTCGCTCGCTCGCTCGCTCTCTCGCTCGCTCTCTCGCTCGCTCGCTCGCTCGCTCGCTCTCTCGCTCGCTCGCTCGCTCCTCGCTCGCTCGCTCGCTCGCTCGCTCGCTCGCTCGCTCTCGCTCGCTCGCTCGCTCGCTCGCTCGCTCGCTCGCTCGCTCGCTCGCTCGCTCGCTCGCTCGCTCGCTCTCGCTCGCTCGCTGCTCGCTCGCTCGCTCGCTCGCTCGCTCGCTCGCTCGCTCGCTCGCTCTCTCGCTCGCTCGCTCGCTCGCTCCTCGCTCGCTCGCTCGCTCGCTCGCTCGCTCTCGCTCGCTCGCTCGCTCGCTCGCTCGCTCTCTCGCTCGCTCGCTCGCTCGCTCGCTCGCTCGCCTCGCTCGCTCGCTCGCTCGCTCTCGCTCGCTCGCTCGCTCGCTCGCTCCTCGCTCTCTCCTCTCGCTCGCTCGCTCGCTCGCTCGCTCGCTCGCTCTCTCGCTCGCTCGCTCGCTCGCTCGCTCGCTCGCTCGCTGTTCCGTTTGGCACCTACCACACTCTACAATACACAGATGTACTGGATAGTACTAGATGATCTCACGCTGAGTGACCACCAATATATTACTTTTAGCATATACGACCATACATGTACAGATCCAGGAAAAATAGAACTCAAAATGGTATCTAAGAAAACTCAATCATAAGAAGTTACTGGAATATATCACAAGAATAAAAGGACATGTGAACAACCAGATGGATTGCTTAAACACAGAGGAGGCTGTCCAATTACTGACGCAGACTCTTAAAAATAACTGTAATGTAACGATGCCGAAAACGACAAAATATAACGGCAAACATCCTGTCTACTGGTGGACGGACGAAATAAGCGCGCTAAGGACAAAATGTCTTGCAGCACGTCGAGCGACTACCCGTCATTATGGTATACAAGCCCTTGAGGATGAATACAGGAAAGCACGTTAAACCCTGAAAAGAGCAATCAAAAATAGTCAAAAAAGATGCTGGAATGATCTGTGCAGTAATATAGACGCTGACTCCTGGGGAAAACCATATAAGATAACGATGAAAAAACTTGGTGAATTCAAACCTATACCTGGCATTAAAAACCCAGAGTGGGATAGTAAAAACATTATTTCATATAGTAAAAACATTATTTCCGTTTACCACGCTTTCAAATTGTGAATTTTATACCTTTAGATGTTGAAGAGTTAAAACTTGCAGCCAATAAATTAAGTACTGGTAAAAGCCCTGGACCAGACGGCATACCAAACAAGATTATTAAATCAGTTTGTGAGATATGGCCTAAATCGATACTCAATGTCCTAACTTATGCCTATTTAAAGGAATATTTCCTGCAAAATGGAATTTGTATTTTCTTTTTGCTTTTTTTTTTGAGTATTTCGTTTCGTATGTTTCATTGCCTTGTGTATATTGTTTTTGTTTTTTGGTGTATTCAGTTTCGTATGTTTCGATGTCTGTTGGTTTTACTGCCTTGTGTATTTTGTTTTTTTTGTGTGTTTATTTCGTTTAGCGTTGTTTTTGTTCGTTTTGTTATTGCTATAATAATGATATAAACGGGAAAATGAAATAAATTAAAATTTTATAGAATTGATATTTCTTAAATACACTGTGGTGAAGGGTATATAAGATTCGGCACAGCCGAACATAGCACTCTTACTTGTTTTTTGTTATTTTCGTAATTTTAAGGGAGTTAAATTAAACGTAATTTTTAATTTACAGGAAATTAGCTGCCTAATTTTCTGTAAAATTTTTATGTTTTTTTTAAAAAGCATAAAAAATTTGTTTTTTTTTTAATTCGCAATCTTTTTCTAAATTTACAATAATTATTTTAAAAGAACTAAAATATTTATGTCTTTAAAACAAATCGTAAAATTAACAAATTTTTTTCTAAAATTATTAAAATTATTTAGCATTTTACTAAAATATTTCGTACAATTTCGTATATATTACGAAAGAATTTCGTGGTGCGAAACCACGAAGCATTTCGTACAATGTACAACATTTTTCGTGTATATTAGGCATGGATTATTTTCAGTGTATGGAAAGTAATCTATGATGGATTGCTAAACTTGGATCTCCAAAGCGGCGCAAAACTCATTGGCTGTGCCGACGATATTGCTCTCGTGGTAACCCAAAAAACAGCTGAAATGGTTGAGATCATCGCAAACAACAGTTTATGCCGATGCAGCAGATGGTTAAGTGAAAATGGCCTGCAACTTGCAGTACCAAAAACTGAGGCAATACTTGTGACAAATCGCAGAGCCTTTATAGCACCTAAACTACGATTACAGGAAATTGATATACCTTTTACAAGAAGCCTATGTTATCTAGGTGTACATCTTGATGACAAACTTACCTTTGCACAACATGTTAGAAATATCCGAGACAAAAGCATGCGAACTGCTTCGTGTTTAGCTAGAATAATGCCAAACTGCGGAGGCCCAGTACATTATACAAAAACACTTATAAATAGCTTAGTTCATGCACAACTTCTCTACGCTGCTCCAACCTTCGTTGGAGCATTAGAGCTAAAACACAACATAAGAAAACTACAGAAACCATAGAGGATTAGTGCTTTGCGTACCATTTCAGCATATCGTACAGTATCCACAAGTGCTGCTCTAGTGCTCGCAGGTTTACCACCAATAGATCTATTGATGTTGGAAAGAAAGGAGATATACACTAATACCAAACAAATCGATACGAACGATATGTCAGAAAGAACGAGAAAAAGTCTTGAAATGAAAGAAAACGTCCGAAAGACCATAGTAACAAAATGGCAAGAACGGTGGAACCAAGAACACCGGGAGGTGGACATATAAACTTATTCCAGATATAAGCGTCTGGTTGAAGAGGAAACATGGAAGTATGGGATACTTTTTAACCCAAGCCATGACAGATGATGGCAACTTTAATGAATATTTGCATAGGTTTAAACTGAAAGATACGGACAGATGAAATGAATGTGGCATGTCAGAAGATAATGCAAAACATGTTCTTTTTGAATGTGTAAAATCGAATGTGGATCGACGAAGGGCAAAAGTTGTATGACAAGCTAGGTGTAACCCTATCACCCGAGAACATGGTGAACGTAATGCTGAGCCACGAAGTAGCATGGAATTTGTGCAAAAACTACCAAATTAGAAACACACATACATACATACATATGTACATACATACATACATACATACATACATACATACATACGTACATACATACATACATACATACATACATACATACATACATACATACATACATACATACATACATACATACATACTCATACATACATACATACATACATACATACATACATACATACATACATACATACATACATACATACATACATACATACATACATACATACATACATACATACATACATACATACATACATACATACATCATACATACATACATACATACATACATACATACATACATACATACATACATACATACATACATACATACATACATACATACATACATACATACATACATACATACATACATACATACATACATACATACATACATACATACATACATCACATACATACATCTAACATACATACATACATACATACATACATACATACATACATACTACATACATACATACATACATACATACATACATACATACATACTACATACATACATACATACATACATACATACATACATACATACATACATACATACATACATACATACATACATACATACATACATACATACATACATACATACATACATACATACATACATACATACACAGACATACATACATACATACATACATACATACATACATACATACATACATACATACATACATACATACATACATACAATACATACATACATACATACATACATACATACATACATACATACATCATACATACATACATACATACATACATACATACATACATACATACATACATACATACATACATACATACATACATACATACATACATACATACATACATACATACATACATACATACATACTACATACAGACTACATACATACTACATACATACATACATACATACATACATACATACATACATACTACATACATACATACATACATACATACATACATACA